TTTTTTTTTCTCAATTGAATTTAGATTTTCATTGTTTGCTATTGTAATATATGCATTGGCAATGACTAATGGTTTGCACATTGGCATTTCAAAAAGCAGTAGCTAATAAAATTGAATATTTACTACTTAACTCGTCTCTTTGTTTTCATTTTTATGAATTTGATGCGATTATTCAATTATTAGATCTTTCATATGAGATGTATGACAGCCAGAGAGGAGGGAGATCACAGAATGTTTGATTATACTATTTCAAAAAATATATTTATATGTGCACATCTTCCGTAGATATGCCACTGGCTTTTGCCTTGTGCAGTATGACCTCTGGTGAGAAGGCAATGCAGATTTTGCTGTTACTTAATTGAGACAAATTTATGACCACAATATATCTTAATGGCTATGATAAAAGCAAAATCAGATATTAAATATCCTGTCTCTTATACACATCTAGATGTGTATAAGAGACAGATCATAGTCTTCCTCTACGCCCTTTGACACATACTTTTCCCTCAGTGGTTGCCAGGACCAGACTATCAGGTCTCCATTTCCAGCGACCATATTTGGTCAGTTGCCACCATATTCATAAGTAGTCCTTTTTTTGGGACTCCAATTATTTCCCTTTGCTAATAGCAATTAATCAAGGCAATTATTTATGGTCAATTGCAAAGAAATACAAGAAATCATCATTTACCCCTCTGAGGCTCTACTCATTAATGTTATGCTCAATATACATAGATTTTCTATAATTTCACTCCAAGTCTTTGAACATGGTGCACCGTACCTTATTGTTTCTTCAGAATCTTTAAAACAAAATTATTTCATCTGTTTTTTTCAGGTTGCATTTATGCCATACAGAGTTAATGGTCAATATATTATGGAAGGTCTTGCTTCTAGTTTCCTTTTTACAATTGGTGGTTTGGGCTTTGTTATTCTCGACAAGTCCAACACCCCAAACACTCCAAAACTAAACCGATTCCTGCTGGTTTTTGTTGGATTCGCTTGCATCTTAATTCCGTTCTTTATGATGAGGGTGTTTATGAGAATGAAATTGCCGTAAGTTATTTGTAGGATTTTTTTTTTTTTTTAATCGATTATACCGTTTTACTTGTGTGAAGACAAGACAACAATGATTTACATAATGTTCCATGTAAAAAATAATAATAAAACCGTATTTTTATATAACGCCTAATGCATCACAAATTCCTTTAGGCGCTTTACATAAGTCTTAAACAAAGGTGGAAAACATTTGTATCTTGTGAATCATGTATAAGAGGACAATTAAAATATAATTTTTTTATTAATATTTATTTTTCTTTTAAATAATAAAATTGTATTGTTTTTTTTTTCACAGTGGTTACCTTTCATCATAAACCAAAGCTGAATTTGCTTCCAAGTTTCACGTTTTTTTTTTTGCCAGCCATCAGAACACAATGTAGAGGGAAGGATTCAAGTCTGGACACTGGAAAAAATCATCTTATTTTACCTACTTTTATTTCTTCATCATTATTAAATATCTTATCCTTTCCAATCTTGGCAAATTCCAAAGAATAAAATATCATTATGGGATGGAATAATATAACTTTTTTTTTTCTCAATTGAATTTAGATTTTCATTGTTTGCTATTGTAATATATGCATTGGTTTGCACATTGGCATTTCAAAAAGCAGTAGCTAATAAAATTGAATATTTACTACTTAACTCGTCTCTTTGTTTTCATTTTTATGAATTTGATGCGATTATTCAATTATTAGATCTTTCATATGAGATGTATGACAGCCAGAGAGGAGGGAGATCACAGAATGTTTGATTATACTATTTCAAAAAATATATTTATATGTGCACATCTTCCGTAGATATGCCACTGGCTTTTGCCTTGTGCAGTATGACCTCTGGTGAGAAGGCAATGCAGATTTTGCTGTTACTTAATTGAGACAAATTTATGACCACAATATATCTTAATGGCTATGATAAAAGCAAAATCAGATATTAAATATCTGAATCAAAATTTTTGCCAACAAAATGTTTCTTTTAAATTGAGCTGTAAACGTATAAATAAATCTCTATGCTGTTGTATTGGATTTATTTGGTGTAAACACCAAGTAAAACCTACGAAAGTCTAGAAGAAGACTTATTTCTATTGGGGTCCTGGTGGTGATTGGGCAGTACACGGGAACAATCCTCTACTCTTCCAAATAGTGTACTGCGTTCTTTAACATGCACACAGGACCAATGGCTTAAACATCTCATCCGAAATACAGTGCGCTATTGTAACTTGTATTTCAGCCCTCCAGCTGAAACACAAGGAGAGGCAGCAATGGGAATTGAATCGGGGACCTAGAGATCTCCACGGTTCAGCGCACACATAAAGTGGCTACCACCAGATTAGCCAACTGAGCTAAGCTGCTGTAGGCTAAGTCATGTAGATTTGAAGTCATAGAAGTCAATTTGCAGACCCATTGCAAGCCTACATGCTCAATTTCTTTAATTCTCATAAAGTATACTGTATTTTTTTTTTTTAATTATTGGACATAATAATGCTTGCATTTTTAGCACAAAGTATATTAAATATAGGCCTGTTGATGTACCTTAATCATGACATCGCTATTCCTAAGTAATGTTTAGCTAACTGCTGAATACATACCTCTGGAATCTGGAATATTCTGGTGTTAAAATAATACAGTACACTTGTTTGTATACAGAGGTTGCTAAGCTGTATTATACTTCTCCATGGAAGATGTGTGTCGGAAGTGGGCGCGTAGTATTCACGCAGGCAAGCATTATTATTTTGGACGCACTTCCGATTTTTACCGACTGCTAGGATACCCAATACGCTAATCCCCATCCATTGGATATTGTTTCTAAGGTCCTCCAAAAAAAAAGAAAAAAAAAAGTGTAAAATGCTTTACGTAAACACGTTAGTTCGTGGGACTTAACACTTTGTGTATAACCGTGCTCTGATTGGTCACTATCCCCCGATGATATCATGTTGTCTAGTTTTTTGAACAAAGGTGCTATAAATTACATTTTCCAACAAGATTACTATTCTTTTCAAGTTAAAATGCGGCCTTACTCGAAGCCTCTACTTTCAATTACAAGACACGCCAACATGCTTAATTATTGTATTTCAATCAAACAGTAGCCTGGAAAGGCAAGATCCATACCAATTGCAATATTAATTTAAAATATAATGATAGAAGACATAGATTACATAGGATTATCAATTATATATGCTCATATTATTGAAATTCGGCTAAATACCAATGTAAACTTCGCAATTGTCATGCCTTGAAAGACAAGTGTGGATTCCTTTTCAACTTACTGTATCTTGTAAACCTTAGAATGTAACAATGTCGGTAATCATCGTGAAATAGTCAATCAAGATGAAAAGAGAGTAGGCTAATTTATAAATGTAACAATGTCAGTAATTAATCATCGTAAAATAGTCAATCAAGATGAAAAGAGTGTAGGCTAATGTATACAAGTTATAATTGGCAATTCTGAAGCGTGAATAAAAGAGAATTCGTGACGACGGGGGAATAGCCTAGTTCGCGGGCCTTCTGGTCTATAGGTGTCATTGAACGAATTCTATTAATGTGTTGTCATATTTTACTCATCCTAAGATACAGATAGTCAATGATATGTGAAAATGAGAAAAAAAAAATTAAAATGGGTGGGTTACCCACACACACACAAACAAAATGTATTTAAATATATTCCTAATTGCTGTACAATACCTTACCCGGCCCTGGCAGTCATCAAAGTACTGTTATACCATGGAGGTATTATTGAGAAGGAGATCACTCGGCAACAGATCCCTTTGACGCGACAAACCTATGTGTTCCCCGCTTTTGGATCGCGCGCGGGCGTATTACCCTATAATTCACATATTTTCGTTAGCAACAACTTGGCAACGACATGCATTTATACGCTTCCAGCAGAGCAGTTGT